AGGGGGTCTCTCCTCTCCCTCCCCTCTTCGGCTGCTTCTCCGACCTCCGGCCTCAAACCCAAACTTCCCCCAGTCTTTATTAATGTCCTTGGGCAAAAACTGATATTGCTTTCAATCTGGCAGACTTTGTTCATTTTAAATTTATTATCCAGGATGCACTTCATTTTCAAATATTTTTTTACTGTTTCTTTTTAATTTCGCTCACTGTTAAGTAGAGTTGAGGAAACCCTTTTAAAACATTTAGGTTGTGGGGAAGCAGCGGGAGAGAAGGAGGCAGCTGGAAAGGAAATCTACATGGAGATTGAACATAAAGGCCGTGGCCATCCAATAAATTTTTAGTAGAAACCAGGGTAATTGCTACATTCACAACCATCTCCTTCAGACATTAAGACAATATCTGGAATGATTAAAGGAGAAAAAAAATTCTCATGATTGAAATAAAAGATGAGTTTGGAACTGGGGGGGAGAGCATGCTTTCCTCATTGTTCCTGCACCTCCAATTTAAAATTAGAAAGTACAAGTGTGTTGGTTTGCAGTTTTGGGTTACCTGCCTGGAGAATTCTGGGAGTTGTAGTCTAAAACAGTGGTTCTCCAACTGGGGTCCCCAGAGATTCTTGGACTGCAATTCCCAGAAACCTTCCCCGCTGGCTGTTCTGGCCAGGATTTCTGGGAGTTGCAGTCCCAGAACCTCTGGGGGCCCCAGTTTGAGAACCACTGGTCTAAAACATAAAAATCTTAAAAGGACCTTCTGTAAGGAAAATCCAGTAAAAGGGATCCCATGCAAAAAGCCAGGAAGGAGGAGACTCATCCTTAAAGATGTTAAGACTGTACTGGCAGGAAGCTTATGGAGTTGTTCATTTAAAAAAAAGCTCTGGTTCTGCTGGGGGCCTGATCATTCTTCCTTGCTTTCGTCCTGTCATCTCAAATATTGTGTCTGTGTAGCACAATTTAAGAGGATACAGGTAGTGACCCAGACAGTAAAGGATCTGGAAACCCACCTGTATAAAGATAAGTTGAGGGAGGTGAGTATGTTTGGTGAAGAGAAGGCTGAGAGGTTATATGGTGGCTGTCTTCAGACGTTTGAAGGACTTTCGCATGGAAGAGTACATTTGCTTCCTGCTCCTCCTCAAATCAATGGGTTAAAAGTCAAGAAAACAGATGTTTGGTTAGACTTTAAGGGGAACAACTCTGACAGTCTGACAGTGCATCTTGGTGGCGGCCCCTCCTTGGATGGAGGTTTTGGACAGAGGTTGGATGGCAATCTTATCAGGGATGTTTCGTTCATGGGTTTCCTACTCTGTCAGGTGGTTGAACTTGGTGGCCCTCCCAAAGCTACAATTGTATGGGCTCTAAATCACAGAGAACATGTCTTATTTGGGGGAACCTGATCCTGGAAACATCTGGGGCCACCTTTCCAAAGTGCTTTCAGTATACACCTGTGGAATGTGTCAAAACTCAAGAAGAGCCCAAGGTAGAACTCCAAGCTGAGAAGAACATATTCTTCTAGAGAAGATCCTATGTCATGTGAATGCACCACCATTTTGGAAGTTTAGCCCAACACATGATGGGGAAGATCATTCTGCATGGAAGAACTCTACCCAAAAGGTGAGCCAAAAATAAAAATAAAAATCTGAGTTATTTTGCAGACCAGTTATCATCATCATCATCATCATCATCATCATCATCATCATCATCATCATCATCATCATCATCATCATCATCATCATCATGTTATTGTTGTTATTATTATTATTGTTATTGTTATTATTGTTATTATTGTTATTGGACTCCAGCTTTCACAATTCCTTATCGATGGCTGTGTTAGCTAGGGGTCAGGTGGGGCGAGGCCAAAACGTCTGCAGGAGACCACCAACACTGCCTATGCATTACGTGTGCACACTTTTCAGCTTAATCTTAACCATTAACCTTTGGATCTGCAATCTTTGAATTTAAATCAAGTTCTTCAAACATAAACCAAGCTGAAATTCAGTTTGCTGAATATTTTGCATGTATCCTTCAATCCTAAACAATGAAGTCAGGCGGTTAAAAACGGAAGCCAAGATTGAATGATGTACTTTAGTGTCCAACACTAGCAGGATAGAGAACTGCCCCCCTCCCCTCCAGGAGCCCCCAGTAACACTCACAACCAGTTACAAAAGTTTTCTTAGCCCTTCCTTATGCCTCCTCAGTTCCTTTTGCCTTTGACCCTGCCCTCCCACTATCTTGGAGTTGAAAGATCTTTTGCACGGCTAATATTTGGTTGCAAGAAAGCTGGTTTCATTTGAGATAGGCCTAGATAAAATCTCTAGGACCTGACAGAAGCTGTTTGTTCCTTTGTTGTTGTTGTTTAGTCATGAAGTCGTGTCCGACTCTTCGTGACCCCGTGGACCAGATCACACCAGGCCCTCCTGTCTTCCACCGCCTCCCGGAGTTGGGTCAAATTCAGGCTGGTAGCTTCAATGACCTTGTCCAACCATCTCGTCCTCTGTCGTCCCCTTCTCCTCTTGCCTCCACACTTTCCCAATACAGTATCAGAGTCTTTTCAGGGGAGTCTTCTCTTCTCATGAGATGGCCAAAGTCTTGGAGCCTCAGCTTCAGGATCTGTCCTTCCAGTGAGCACTCAAGGTTGGTTTCTTTTAGAATGGATAGGTTTGTTCTCCTTGCAGTCCAGGGGACCCTCAAGAGCCTCCTCCAGCACCGCAGTGATTGTTCCTAGCAGGTCATTAGAGTGATTGAAGAATTGATACCTGGTTCATTACTTGCCTTTTAAAACAATTCCTGCCTCATGTTACTTCCTCACACTGTTCTGCAAAGCAGGAATAGGGAAAAAGAGCAAGCCCTTCCACACAGTGTATGATTTCTTTGTGGAACTCCCAGCCAGAAGACTGTTTTAGGGAGGATTTTTGCCTTCCAGAGCTGGCACTTATGAGCCCTCCCTCAGCCACCCTTGGTTGTGTTTGACTACAAAGCCTATGCTCCTCCAGACTGCAGGGACATGCTGTTAGAAATTGTGGGAGACGATTTCTAACAGCATGGCAGGAAAGGCTGCTAGAAAATATGCAAAGCATAATTCTAGCATATTTCACACATACCACACAACTGCCAAGGAAATCTGAACCAGGGATTTTCTGGCTGAGATCTGAACCAGGGATTTTCTGGCTGATTTATCCAGCTGCTTTGCCATCCCATGCTGCCAGTCCTCATTGTTTATAACATACTTTAGAACGGCCGGGATGTATCACTTTATCCTTTCAGTAGTTTATCTATTGTGGCATACTTTCACAACACTGTGTTAAGATGGACATGGTGTTGTGAAATACTGCCTCAAACGTCACATATTTAAGCAGCCAGCTACCAGTCCTACTGGAGCAAAGGGAGCGTGGCCCAGCTAACACATCTGAAATGTGCTAATTTACCTGTATGCCTTGTGGTACCATAAAGACTGATGATTTGATTATATAACAGCAACTTTTCTGGACTTTGTCCACTTCATCAAATGCCATGAAAACACATAACAGAATCATTTTGTTAATATTTAAGGTGTTATTTAAAAAACCGAACAATCTCAAGACACGGACATGGTAACCCCTCTAGAAGTTTTCAGTTTGCGTATTTGAAACTCAACCTTTGGAGTTCAATGGATTTTAACAGTGAATGGATCACTCTACCCTTTAGACATGTACACTGTTCTACCATCTAACTCCAGTGATTGAAATCTGATAGCAAATCACAATGAGAGTAGACCCAATGAATCAATGTAATTTACAGAGGAATTGGTTCACCAGATTCCCACTAATTCAACGGGCCAGCTCTGGTTGCAATTTACTGATGGGTTTCAGAGAAGGAAGTGAAATTTCATTTCCCACTGAAGGAAGTTGAGTGGAACTCAACAGCAAGATCGTAGAATGATAATCCTAGCAGGATTATAATCTTAGCAGGCTAGCCCCACCTAGAGGAAACTGGAAACCAGATCAATGGGACCTGGTGAGTCAACAGGAACTGAAATCTCGTTGATTTAACGGGCCTCTTCTAGTCGGCCCTAACCCTCTTCTCCTACACATTCTTGGAGGTGGGAACAGTTTTGCCATAGCCTTCTTTAAAACGCCCTACCCATCCGGTCGGAGGAGAAGACAGCAAGAGAGGGACGAATCCGATTCGAGAGATATCATCCTCGCGACCCCGCGATATTAGATGGGTGCAGACAATGAAGAGTTGATACAGAGGGAAGGATCCGGTAGACTTCCCCGTGTTCCCCATTCTTGGCAGGTTGGGCGGGGGGAGGGAGTTGAAGCGATTTATAGCCTCCGAAGCATCTTCACCGCATCCATTTTTTTTTTCAGGCGAGGATAACAGCGAGCTGCGAATCCTTCTCCTCGGGGCGAGCTTCAAGGGCCCTTCCACACGGGCCGTTTTATTTGGATTTAGACGGCTAACAGCTGCAAATCATGCGCTCGCCCATCCCCACGCCGCGCCTTTCTTTCCTCCCGCCTCTCTCTCTCTCTCTCTCTCTTTCTTTCCCAAGGAATCTGAGAAGACCTGCGTTTAATGAAACGTGAAGTGTGAAAACTTCCTGAGCTGCCGAAGCGACTCCTAATGATGTTCCCAGATGTGGCGGCGGACTGGAGCAAGGGGCGATGGCTGTTAGAACCTCACCTTCCCGGGCGCACCGTTAGGGCCCGGCGAGCGGGAAAGCTCTCCAAGCCGTGCGTAATTGCGCACGGGAGAGGTTCTGCTTTTATTTTGTTTGCCTGCCTGCCTTTGCGGTGGGCAGCTCTCGCCCTGGAAAAAGAATAAGTCTTTGTAATCTTTCTCTCTCTCTTTAATTTCTTTTCACCCCCGTGGCTCATTGCGTGGATCTGGGTTTTGAAAAGCGGGGGGGGGGACTTATGGAGAGCCGGATCCTCGGTTTAGAAAAGGAAAGCTGCCGGCGCTTTCGAGCTGTTCCGGTGAAATTCAATTTTCGCTGAATTCTAAAGATCTTCTCGCTGATTCCCTTCCAGGCTGCTACGCGGTGCAAAGACAGAACTTGAAGGAACAGCTCCTGGCCAAACTGCTGAGCGGCACCCCTCGTCATGCGCCCCATTTCAAGAGCGCAACGGCTCTGAACCGGATCGCTGGCGGGGATTTCACGGAGAGGCCAGCTTTGTGGTCTCAAGTTATTGTGGGGGTACCGATGGGCCTTGGGGAGACCTAGTGGAGGTGTTAACCAGCAGAGACTTCATGAATTTTACATGCAGGGGGAGCTGGCCGGTCGATTGGAGGGAGTTGGACAAAAAGGGGTCACCTTTTTGATCCACCCCAATCGTTGTCCGGCCCCAAGTGCCTTGAATTTTCAGAGCAAACCGGTGGACTGAAAACTCATTAAGGCTGGAAGACAAAAGAATGTCTTGAGGGGGGTGGGCGGGCGGCTGGTGGCGGCGAGGAAGAACCGTAAGACCATTTCTGAGCCAGAGGCCTCCTAATCCGATTTGAGTGGAAAATTCACGGCGAGGTGGCCAAGTCCTGCTCTTACACAGAAATCATGATGACATTGCAACATTAAAGCAAAAAAAGCCTTCCGAAAAGAGCTTGCGGGTGTAGTTACTTTTCCGACCGCATAAACAGCCACTGTGTTTACAGCCGAGGTCAAGTCGTCGCCTTCTAAATTGAATTAAATTAAATGTTTTCGGAGCAAAGGGACCAGCTTGCAGATTTCTCCTGCCTTTTTGGTAAATGGGATTGCTTAATTGTTTATGGCAGGCAACGGGTATGTAGAACTAGTAGGTTAAGAAGGAACTCTGGGCTGAAACATGGGATTTGGGGGGGCATTGCCTCCATTTCAAGGACACCCCTTAGGCTGCTGCGCGATTTGTAGCCACTAACTGTTAACTCACAAGTAAATCTCAGTGAATTCAGTGCGGCAGGCACAGCTTGTATTTTTATTTGATCTGAAGGTGGGCTTTAATTTACTTTTTGCTAGAACACACTATCACCTACCTACCTACCTACCTACCTGCCTGCCTGCCTGCCTGCCTGCCTGCCTGCCTGCCTGCCTGCCTGCCTGCCTC